TGTCGGTGCCCAGGGTCGTCCCTGTGCAGCGACCACAGCTTTTGGATTTTGTCTTGAATTTCCCAGTCGTCCTAAGAATGCACTTCAAGACCTCCCGCGTTCTCCTGACCAGCTCTGCCGCCACGCTTGTGCTTCTCTGTTGCACTTTGTGGGCAGATCTCCGAGTACCTCCTCGAACGCTCTCGCGTCGTTCGTCAAAACGCGGGTGAAAACAACTTTCACGTCATGTACTACGTCTTTGCCAGCCCCAACGCTGCTCAACTGGGTCTGAACGACTACCGCCGCTTCAACTACGTCTCGCAATGCGCGTCCTTCCCGCGCGACAACCAGGGGTTCGTCTGCCCTCCCGGCCCACCACATCTGGGCTTGCGGCCTTTCAACCGGCCATTCACTCACCTGACTGCTGCCGCTGCTTCACCGCGTTCAGTTCGTACAACGAGGTCATCAGTGCCTTTCGCACGGTCGGCTTTTCCCAGGTTGAGCAGGCCAACGTGCACAGCATGCTTGCAGCCGTGTTGCACATTGGCAACATTGAGTTTGAGGACATCTATAGCACTTCCGAGACCCCGGAAATGTCCTCCCCCCGTGAAGTGCTCAACACGGCTGCCAGCGTTCTCGGCGTCGACCCCAATGCGCTCTTTGAGAGCATCGTAGCTGTCACCACGGTCACCCGCGGCGAAACCATCCGCCGCGTCAACACCCCCGACAAATCCACTGACACCAAAAATGCCATTGCCAAGGCCCTCTATGGACGCCTTTTCAGCTGGATTGTCTCGCAGATCAACAACCTCTTGGCCGTTGGTATGCCTCCACGCCCCACGATGCCCAGCACAAGACCTGATGCTCCCTTGTTGTCCTCACAAATTGCACTCGCTTGCTTTCTCAAGGCTCTCGCTCCCGCGGCGCACGCCTGGACATTGGCATCCTTGGTGCGTTGCAATGCGCTGCGGACCCTGTTTGCTCCCGCCCTGGATGTGGCGTTTCTTGCTCGTCCCTGGACCCTGATACGACCTCGCCTTGCAATGCTTGCTGATAGACATTTTCGGGTTTGAGCATTTTCAGACCAACGGCTTTGAGCAATTGTGCATCAAGTGTGTACCATGCATTTTCAGACCAAAGCCTCGCATTTTGTTTCGCCGCTCCACTCATCTCATCGCTATTTTGCCCTGTGATCTCTTCACGCAGCGTGGCCAACGAACAGCTGCAAAACTTTTTCAACCAGCACATCTTCAAGCAAGAATTGGCCGAGTATGCCCGCGAGGGTATTGATGGGTCCAACATTACTTTCGAAGACAATCAGCCTCTACTGGTGCGTGCCTTGCTGTCCCGTCCTCCCATATGGATTGATGCACGATATGCTTTGTGTACCTGTGTTTGTGCCTGTGATTGTGCCTGTGCCTACGTTTGGGATATTTTTTTGCCCTTTGTTCCTCCAGTTCTTGCTCTGCTGATGTGTATTGTACATGTAGGACATGTGCTTTGGCAAGCCCATCGGTCTTTTTGCGCTGTTGGACGAGGAATCGCGCTTTCCTCGCGCCACCGATGACACGCTGATCCAAAAGCTCAAGAACCAGCTCACAGGCCAGGCCGGCTACGAGCCAGCTCGTACCTCGGCTCCTTGCTTCACAATCAAGCACTACGCTGGTGCTGTTGAGTACACCTCGTATGGCTTTTTGGATCGAAACCGTGATGAGCTCTCCCAGGATGTTCGCAAGGTGCGTGCCAAGTTGTGCATGCATCAATATTCGGGCTTGTGCAGTCGTCTTGACGTTCTCACTCGGCAACTCGGCAACATTCACGCACACTTGTCTGGATCCTGCTTGTTCCCCTGCATGGATAAACTGTCTGTGGTGCGCCATGTAGATGGCGCAAAGCAGCTCAAACGAGCTCGTGCGCCAGCTGTTTGCCAATGACGACGATGATACCCCGCGTCACGGTGGTAGCTCTGCTGTGCAGGCCAACTCGGCTCAGAAGCGCTCGGCCACCGTGAGCCACCAGTTTGTGGCCGATCTCAGGCTTTTGATTGACAAGATGATGAAGTGCATGGCGCACTTTGTCCGCTGCATCAAGCCCAACACGGAGCAAGCGCCCTCCAAGTTTATCGATGACTTTGTCAACGGCCAGCTGCGCTATACGGGTAGGCTCACATTGCACTTGGTCACCGCCACACATCATTGAGAAACTTTGCGGGCCACGGCTCATTGCTCTCTGAACGCATGGGTCGGAATCGATTTGACCACAGGTATGCTGGAGACGACCCGCATTCGTCGCGAGGGCTACTCATTCCGCCCTACATTTGCCGAGTTTATGGAGCGCTTTGGCATCCTGGCCTACGGGCCCTCGGCCCGTGTGGAGGCATCCAGCCAGACCTGCTCCAAAGTCTTGGCAGCCAGCGGTGTAAAGGGTTGGCTTGTGGGCAAAACCAAGGCAAGCATGAGCCTGGGCCTGATCATGTTCGAGTGTTGCAATTCCGCAGTTGTCCGTGGCAGCGCTCTGCTGCCAGCATCCCCTTCTTACATCCTCCCACACGGCAACGCAGGTGTTCTTGAAGTATTGGCAGGTGGAGCAGCTGGACAAATCCATCAAGCTCTTCCACGATCACGCGCGCATTCTGCAAAAGGTGGCCAAGGGCTTTCTGGCGCGCAAGTACGTACTTTTCCCACAACACCAGCGAAAACAAAAACTGATGCTCATGGTTTCACATCTTGCTCATCTTGTTTGACCACTGCGTGTATGGACACAGGTTCCGTGCCAACATGAAGCGCAAGATGCAGATGTACTTGCAGGAAACAGGCGTTTTCTTTGAGACCGTCCGCCGCAACGGCGCTAGTATGTTTTTGAAGTGGTCTGTTGATCTTGCAGCTGCAAAAGTGCGACCTCACTTGGTGTCCTGCATGCATTTTGCGCCTGGTTGATTAGCTTATGGTGCACGAGTGGCCAGCAATGATGCCGAAGATATGCGCCGCCACGCCTCTGGCATTCAACCCCGACGCGTAAGTCACAACTTTGTGAATATTCCACGCGTGCTTTAACGCATGCAAGCCTCACCCACATCAATGCTTGCCTCCTTCTCAGCCTCCACCCAGCGTCCCAGCCGGTCCTCGCAAATCAGAGCAGGAACTCAAGCGCGATGCGTAAGTGTGATTGCCCATGCCCGTGCCCGTGCCCGTGCCCGTGCCTGACTCAATTGGCCTATCAACATGGGTGCATACGCAGGTCCATCGCTTGGTGGAAGGAAAAGGAGGAACCCCGTGGAGCAGGCAAAGACTCTTACGGTGCGTTGCAACGCGAATGTGCTTTCTTTAGCCTTAACACGCAATTACCACGATCGACTGACAACTGCGGCTTGGGTTGGCAGGTGGCTTTATGCCTTGGTTTCATGGGCTCATTTCTCGCCGCGAAGCGGAAGAGCTGCTGCGTCCCCGCTATATCGGGTGTTTCTTGGTTCGCGTGAGCGAAAACCGATTCGGCTACACCCTTTCGTATCGTGTGTCGGACCGCTGTCGTCACTACATGGTGGAGCAGAACACGCAGGGCCAATACGCATTGGTGGGCGTCTCCAAGGTGAGCCATGCTATTGCGGTCCCTTTGCCACCACAGCCATTGGCACCAACTATACTCGCAGCATCCATTCTGCTCAACAAATTGACTGCAACCGACCCTCACCACATGGCCAACTCGACATGCAATGCTGGTAACTAGATTGCCGATAGCCTGAACGAGCTGATTGAGTGGTTCCAACGCAACCCCATCAACGAGGACATGGACATGTTGCGTGAGCCTTGCGGACAAAAGGTGTGTCGTCGGCCTTTCCCGCACTTGGCAGGCATTTCTGCCGCCTTGTTGCCGCTCAATTGCTGTCAAGACTTGCGCGCGCGCGCGCGTGTGAGGTTCCTCGGACTGACTCTGGTGGCGGCGTGTTTCGGCAGATGAACGATGATGGCACGGAAGAGTGCGATTACGGCGAGCTCATGTCCCCGGGCACGGTAGTTACTTCGTCGTCTTCCTCACACGTGCCCTTCTCGGGCGGCCCTCCCCCCGTTCCACGCGACCGCAAGCCATCATCAGCTGGGGGTGCCGTGCCTCCACCCGTCTCACGCGCGGGCAAGCCGGGCGCCGCACCAGCTCCCATGGGGGCTGGTGCCCCCCCGCCAATTCATCGCGAACGCAAGCCGTCGTCTGCTGGTGGCGCCGTGCCGCCGCCCATTTCTCGTGCCAATAAGCCTCGCTAATGTTGCTGTCAAACCCGAGCAGAGCGGGCGAGCAGCTACCGTTTCCAACTTTCTAAATGGATCTATTCGCATTTGTTGGCGCGGGTACGCCGGCTTCACTCCTTTTGCGCTCTCCTGGGTCGTCACATGATTTTGTGATGTGTGTGAGGCTTGTTTTTGTGTCTTTCTATTTCTCCTTTTTCAATCTCAATCTTGAGAGTTTTCTTCTCCCGCCTCATCAGCTGGGATTGGCCGTCGTCATTCGGCTCCCCTCCTTGCCTGATGGTGGTAATTGACGAGCGTACAAACTTTTGCTTGAGTCCAAAAGGCAACCGAATGCACTTGCAACTGATTTTCCAAAGCGTCCCACCCCAGTCCCCACCTACGCCCACACGAGCCACCGTCTCTAAGGCACCCCCTTCCAAAAGAGCACGTTTGAGCAACCAATCATTGATCCGCTCACCAAACACAAACGACAAAAATTTGACATGACAACAAACCGCTTACTACAACTTCTCCATAAAACGTGGCAATAACAACATTGAAAATACATCAATGGTATCTAGCACCTCTCCACAAATATACAATAACTTTACAAAGCTCTACAAGAACACACGCGGGCGTTCCAAGCCCATTTTGCAACCTTTGAGCCAGTGTCCCACACTCATGAGCGCCTGCTGCATCTGACTGGAGCCGGAAACGCTCGTTCGATCCGCCGCCTAGATCTCTTGCGACTGGGGTGGGGTCGCAGCAGGGCATCGCTGCGACCGCTTGATGGCCGAGCGGAAGACTGGTGTTACGATTGAGCAAGCATGAAGAAGTCTCGCTTGACACCGCCAGCCACGCCCTCGCGCGAAGCTCTCAAGCGGCTGGAGGATGAGCTAGCCAAGGAACTGGAGCAGCTCAAGCAACATGCTGATGACTACCAAGATGCGCAACGAAGCTGCCATCCTGAGATCCCTTCCTCCAGCCATGCGCATCGTATGGAGCGAGAGGCCCTGCTCAAGCAGTTACGATATGTGGACCAGGTTCGTGAAACGCAACAGCAAGATGCCCTCTTGGGTCACATTCGTGAGGCTGCCCGACAACCGGCCTTGTCCAACGACAACGTCTTGAGCTTTGCAAACCAGGTCGGTCACTCGGCAACACACTCACTTGGCCCCTTGATCTCCTTTTGCCTTTTGATACTGCGATTTTATTCACGGATGCTTGTCTCGTTGTCTTCCATGTGCTCAAATCTCCGATTTGCTGAACACCCAGGTTTTTACGCATCAAGTTCAGGACATGGTCCTTGTTCGGCAGGAACTGCTGCGACGCTGGACTGAGCATGCTCCCAGCCTGCCCTCGCGCGTGCTGGCAACGGCCAGCCAGGAAGTAGCAATGGCCGAGGGCCGCGCTGTCGAGCTGACGCGCAAAACAGCGGACAAAAGCCTGCTGCTGGAGGATCTCATTCCCGTGCTCACAGAATACCAGCGCGAGTGTGAAGCACGGCGTCATCTTGATCGCTTCCTTGTACGCATTCGTTGGCTGGCTCTCACCGATCACGATGTCATCCGCGATGCCATGATGGGTCGGACGCCGGTCACGCAACGCTACATTCCGGGCAGCCTGGCCGATCTCATGGCTACCCGGGCTGGCTCCGCCAGTCGAGGTCGGCACAGTAGCCACGGGTTGAGCTTGACGGCAGCCAATGGCGATGACAACCCTCTTCTTCGGTCCACGATGCCCTTGAACCAACCAAATTATGCCAACCACCAGTTGCGCCTTCGGTTCCTCGGGGACTTCTTTGCTCTCCAGTTCCGTCTCAGTGAAGCCCCCGCAGATCAACTGCAGGCCTTCTATCAGGCTCAACACCTCTTTCAGCGTCGCTTCACCGAACAATGCAATGAGGCTGCCCATGATCGGATCTTGATTGATGCAGACATTGGTTTCCACCGTGGCCCTCAACCTCAAGAAGAGCATGCCCAGGAGAAGCGCACCGCACACCTGCTTTCGGTTGGCGAGGCCCTGGACGAATTGCTCAAGATGGAACTTGAGTTTGCTCTGCGCAACGACTATGACTACGCGACTCTTCGCCTCCGTCAACGCGGCCATGTTACTCGCAGCAGTGGCGGTTCAAAGTCTTTACAAGTCAGCAGTTTTGCTGACGGCGACGTTTTCACAGGTGGCTTGTGGCAGGACCTCTACTCGGCAGAACGTGGCGTTAACACGGCACCGACTCGCGTCCTGGCCCCGGTAACCGAAACGGAAGAGGAGGAAGAGGATGCAAGTGGTAGCGGTTCCTCCAAGGACAAGACCAACCGCAAAGATACACTGGCAGCCTATCTTCTCCTACGCCATGTTGCTGTGCGCGAGTGTCGCTCTCAGGTTGCAGCATACCTAAATTACTTTCATTCAGTCCAGCGCACGCTGCATCATGAGCATGCTCAGCTTCAGGCCACTCGCTCGGCCGAATCGCGTCTAGATCTTCTTAGTGGCGGCCAGGAAATTGCACGGACGACGGGCGCTGACCCGTCCAAGCCCACGGGCACTGATAACGAGACAGCACCCGGCTCTGATAGCGAACTTAACAGCACGCCAGACACGGATTCAGCCCCCGGGCCAGAAGCCAAGCCCAAGTTTGTGCGTGACCGCTATAAATGGCATGGGAACTGCGTAGCGGTTCTTGACAGCATGGGTGATCCGCGGCATTATGCCGGTGCCCAAGCTGAGATGGCCCGTCTCGAGCATGAGCTCATGTCGCTTGGCACGCATTACTTGCAACGCTTAGCCAAAACAACATACGCGTCTCAAGGCCAGCGCAAGCGTCAGCAGGCCGCCACGCGCCGAGCCAGCCGGCCACGGTCTGCATCGGCCTCGTCAGTTTCTGCCGCAGCCGCTGAGGAGGAGCGCCGGGCTAGTGCAGCCGTAGACCTACAACTCTTTGGCAATGGCACGGCGGATCGAGCCGAGGTACTCTTTGACCTATGGCTATGGGAACTCAACTTTGTGCAAGAAAAACAACGCTTGTTGGCAGTTCTGCATGCTGGCCTTGACTTGACCCGTGACGCGCGTCAACGGGCCTCTTTGGTGCAACAAATGATCAACGTGCTCCACGAACGACCAAAATATGATCTAGAAGCCGACTACTTTGTAACATCGTTCCACTTGAGCTGTGTATCCTATCGCCTGCGCCGGGAGCTGTATCTTGGTGCCGTCACGGGCCTGCTGCAGCGTGACTCTGATGCTAGCATGGCATGGTCCGCAGCGGGCCACAGCGTGCAAATGTACAGCATCGATCAGCGCTTGGCTCTACCCATGCCTGTGGTCGATCTCTTTACCGTGCATGCCTCTGTGGGCAACGTGGCTCACTTAGCCCCAGCCATTGCCTTTGCTTTGCAAGAGGCGTCACGCACTCTACACCCCGTCTCCCAGAACCAGTTTTCGCGGCTCGAAGCAGCGCTCTTGTCTCAGGCCCTCACCGTCTGGGAACAAGAACAGGCGGCGCCCTACTTTGAGAAGGAGTGTAGCGTTGATGTTGCAAGTCTAGCTCGTGCCCCAGTCGGCCGAGATCCCAAAACGCTTGTTGATCTTGTGAGGCGCGTAGCACGCAGTGAGCTGAGTCAGCTTGACATGGAAGACCAGCTAGTCCGAGGGCAAGGGCTGGCTGCCGTGGCGCTGGAGACGTTGCGCTGCCGTTCCATGCTGCTGACGCAACAGTATGAAGGAATTGTCCTCGCCAAGCTGCATCGTCGTCTTGCGAGTCAGCTCAACGTCGGGGAGCACCACGCTTTTGTTCGACCCCTCACCTTTATGGCTGCTGGCCACGCCAAGGTTTCGGCAAGTAGTTACACTTTGCGTGCATGCCGCGCTTTCTCTGCCCAGCGCTTTGACCTTACTCTCTGCTTCGCACCTCTCACCCGCACCCTTGATTGCAGGCAGAAGAAGAAGACCCCTACGTGCCGAGCCACCATGGACTGGCGTTATTTGAGTTGGACGACGCGATGGTCAACAACATGGCGCTGGCTTCCGAGGAGCGCGTCTATGAGCTGTTGACCAAAGCTGTGCAGCGGAGTAGCCGTGTTGGTACCACGGATCAAAGTGGACACAGCTTCCAACCCCTTGCTGGACCGCTAGGGGATTTGCAAGCCGCCATGCAGGCCCAGATCTCTCACACCGCCCTCCTATCGACCGTGGTTGATCACATGGAGGCTTTTGGTGCCATGGACGCGGCGCAAACTCAAGCTTGTCGTGACAAGATTACGAGCAGCGTGGGAGATACTGAAGCTGCACCGGCACATGCCATCGCCTCAGACATGTGTGGATTCGTCTCCATCCAACTCATCAAAACCCGTGCACGTGCTCAAATGCACACTCAATATCTTCAATTGCTGAGTACCCGCGACCCCTATTTACTGCGCCGCGAGATGGTCGCCAAGTTTAGTGAGCTGGTAGCCGACACGTGCGAAGACCTTGCTTTGCGCGTGCAAATTGCCCGCTATCTTCAGAGCCTACGGGGCCTGCTCAACGCATTTCCCTCTACCCGAGACAACTATTTCCTCGACGGATCGCCAGAGCTGGTAAGCGACCGTTTGTTTCAGATCTGTGGCTACGTTGCCTGCCTCTGGCCCCACGAATGCAAAACTCCCTCTGCTCACTCTCATCTTTGTTCTACCCATCATCTTTGCTCGTACGCTTGCTCTCCTGATATCTGAATAACATTTTTCAATTTTGCGCTGCGCCATGGCATGTCTGCTGTTTCAATGTTCAGACAGCCCGCCGCCAAGCCACAACGGAAGCCTTGCTGCACGACAAAAGTGCGCCTTCATCCAGCCTTCAGGCAAAGATGTCGGCAGCCGAAGTCGACGAAGCGTTGGAGCGACAAAAGCGAACACCACTCAAGCTCTTGTCCGAGGATGGCCAGCAATTGTTGAATCTATGGTTGGTTGATGTGCAGATGGGATTCGCGTTGATCTCTGTACATGCATGAAGAATTTCCCCACTTCCTCTTTCTTTTCCTGTACGCGCCCACTCCTTAGGTATCTTCCTCATCGTGCCGAAGTGGCGCACTTGTATTCTAATCTTCCAGTGACCCAACGCCGGCATGCCTTGCAGGTCAGTTTGGCGCTGGCATTGTTCTGATTTACTCGGGGTTCAAGGAAATTTTTATTCGTGGGTCTCATCAAAGTGGTGCGCTGCCCTGGCACTTGGGCTGCTCAGCACTTGCTTGCGCTGTTGGCTCCCCTGCATGATATTATCATGTTCTTGTGCGCGCACGCGCGGTTGGGAAGCTCGCATGCGCGATTGGGCACCTACGATGTGGCTTTCCAGGGCGTTGGTGCGGACTGGGGTGGGGCAGAAGGCATTGGCACAGAGTTGCGCAAGATTAAGAGCGAAATTGCTGGCCTCCGTGCACCCAACGAGCCTGCCTGCGTGACTGAATTTCTGCGGCTCAAACGCAACATGATGTTTTTGGAGTGGGATCTGACTGTGCGCTTTTACGTTCGCGAGACTTTTTTGGGTATGCGAAATCAACGCGCTTACGATACTGTTACCATCAACATGGCGACTGGTCTCCCAGCACTCTCCATGGCACGTCAGTGCGCCTCAGTTCTTCGCAATCGGTTTCATGGTCCGGTGAGTGTTTGCTAGTTTGTTTTTTCTCCTTCTTGTAATTATTGGTGTTTACACTCGAACGAGATTGCACTGGGCCAACACGGTATGAGAGGAAGGGATGAGAGAAAAGGGTGTTTGCAAAAGCAGGTATTGAACCAGGCTCACTTTTTGTTGTGACGCGTCTTGTCATTGTAGGCTCAGCTATGCGCTTGGTTTGAGCTTGAGGCCAGGCAAGGCCCCTTCCTGCTGGGACATCCTGCCTATTCAGAAGTAGCAAATCACATGGAACTGTGCTTGGCCAAACTGTCAGATATGGAGCGCCACAATGCCAATGGCGAGGTGCTTGGAGTCAGCCTGCTGCTCGAGGACATTATCGAACAAGAGCTGCGAGAGAGTGACCACAAAGACAAGGCTGAAACCTACAAGGTGCTCCAGGACTTTCTCATCATGTCAATCCGTCTTGAGCAGCTTCGCTTTGCATGGGCACGCCTCACCCTCAATCTAGACGTGATGTCTCCCGAGACCCTGGCCCAATTTTTGCCTCTTTACGACGCACAAGTCGTGGCCCCGGTGGTGACCAGCCTACGAGCGCTGGTTCTGGAACCGGTAGGTCTTCAGGCACAGGATGGACCTGGCCATACCTGTGTGCTTGCGAGGGGAAGGAGGTCGGAGAGTGCTCCTCTGCTGGGGCTCAACAATGATTTTTGACAAAAGGCGCGTCCGATGCTAGCGTTGGACAACTCACGGGCGATCGACATGGCCTATACTAGACTGGGGCCTCAGGCCGAGCAGCTGCGGCTCGAAAAAAGGTCAAGAGCACAGCAGGTCTGCTTGTGGGCCAAGGCACTGCGCTTGAGCTGTATAATGTGCCTGAGCTTTTCTACCGCCGCTCTTTGGTAAGGCTCAAAAGAGACGAAGATTTATTTGCAGAGGATCATGGCTGCAGCGCGACTCAAGTCTAAACTTTTTGCACCGTTCTAACCCCGACCTTAACTCGCCTCTCTTTTGCCTATGGCCAGGTGGCAGAACTTGAGACCCAGATTCGATGTGCCCTTGTATCCCGCTCGATCAGCAAGGTGGCACGCGTACGCAAGCTATTGCAGTTGAGCACGAGCGACACAGAGCAAATTTTGCCCTACCAAGCCTGGGCCAAACTTCAGGTGCAGCGAGCTCCCGAGCGAAGTCGTCGTCAGCATGTAGGTGGCCGATTGTGGGCTCCAATACTAGGATTCTGGAATAGTGGTTGCCTAGTATTCATCTTGCACGCACCACGTCTCAGGAGCGGACCTTGCAAGTGCCGCAGCATGTTGCACGCTTGGAGTTGATCAACGATTTTGCTGCGCGCTTGCTGCGCGAAGCACGCATGGATCATGATGACGGTACAGTCCAGCTACCGGCGCGCGTTTTGCGTGATTCCCTGAAGCAGTTGGGCCAAGACATGCATTCTCGCGAGGTGAGCTTGTCCGCGTTATCGCCGCTGGTCAAGATGAGCACATTGAACTCTCATTTGGTTTCCTCGGAATCGCCCTCAGCGCGAGCGCTACATGACATTTAATGAGTTGCACAAGGCCATCGTAGCAGAGTTGATTTCAGCCTTGGACCAAAGTGAGGCGGCTCGGCGTGAGGCTGTTCGCGCCAGCAATCGCTCGGACTTGGAAATTGCACATGCGGTATGTAGGGGTCAATGCAACTGCTGAACGAAACATGCAGTCGACGAACGCCCAGTCCAGTTCATAGTAGTAGTCGCTGGCGGCGATGCTTCATAGGTGGAGTGCGGCATTGCTGATCGTACTTACGACATGGTCCACGAAATCACGGCACTGCGTGCCACCGTTTCTCGGCTACGCGATGAGCACCGCACGCAGGTCGGATACCATCTGCACGCTGATTCTGATTCTCACTTTGGCTTGACCAGTCGGTCCTTTCTCTTATCTTTCTTGATTCGAGTGAGGGAGAGTGTGAATGCACATGTGTGGTGACACTCATCCTGGTGCCCAACGATCTTGCTGATACAGGCTCGGGATATCAGGGAGAGTGTGAAGCGGGATTACGACGACCTCGTCAACAATCTGTTTTCCACGTCCTTTGCTCTGAAGAACCAATTTGAAGAGTACCGCCTAAGTCTGCATGAAGACGTGGTAGAGGGCTTGTCGGAAGTGCGCAGGGTGAGCATATTTCAAAAAATTTGCGCCGGACACTTTGACATGTGTAGATTGATGCCCCTTTCTTTGTCGTTAGACGGCGCTGCAGCGCATGAAATTAATCTCTGTCGGCAAGCATGATGAAAAGTTTGAGGCTGGACTGAAAAAGGCCGACGACCTGCGTGATGTGCAAAATGCCAATGCTAGTCTCACCGCCCTGGTACTCAAGGTCTGTTCACAGAAGGACTGCGGTCCGACTTGCGCGCCGTTGTTGGCCTTATCTTTGTGCTTCGCGCCCAAGCCTGTTCCTTATCTACACCAATTTCCGCCTTTGCGTGTCGGGGCGAGCAGATGCGAACGATGAATGACTGGAAGCGGACGGGCTTGCGCTCGCACTACGGCAAGAAGGTTCACGAGGCCGCCATGACAGCCAATGCAATGAAGCAGCAATTGTGGGACACCCAGCTTATCGTAAGATGACATGGGCTGAACTGCCTCATGCTGTTGGAGATGCTCCTTTGATGTTTCTATTCACACCTTGTTGATGTGCAATACACAGGCACAAGAGGCCAAGGCACAACGGCAACATGAGGTGACAGCTTTGCGTGCGGAACTTTTGGCGGCCAAAAAAGGTCTTCAGAGTGCTCAAGCAGACTTGAAGCACGAGCGTGCGGCGCGCGAGGTGAGCTTTTAGGACGACCACAAGCAGAATCATGCCTGTCTGCCGGCGTTCAAAGCATGGCTCGGGCCGTGAACGCTCTTCACAAACCAACCTAATGGTTTGCACATGTTGTATTGGCAAAGGCGCTGGAGCAATGGAAGGCCAGCAAGGTACAACTGATCACAGCTGTGGAAAAACAAGCCAAGGTCTACAATAAGCTGGACCTGGACGTGGAAAAGGTAGCGGACCAGCTGGAGGAGCAGATGGACACCATCGCTCAACTCCATGCCGAGATTGATCGCCTGCAACGCGAAAGCCAGTTGCGCGAGTCCAAGCTTCGTCTTGATATCAAGGCCACCCAACAGCAAGTGCGTCACGTCGCCATCTCTGTCGACCTGGTTTCTTCCGTTATGGTACATTGGCTCACTCCTGTCGGTTGTCGGGCTTTACATCGACGCAATGGGGATGGCTTGGTGATAGCTGGCTCGCGAGCGACGCGTCAAAGCAGATTTAATGGATCGGCTTGGCACTACCGAGGCAAGTTTTTTATTTGTTTGTTTGTTTTTGTTCTTGTTTTGTTTTGTTTTTTCTTTCCTTGATGGTGTTGGTTAGGGGAGGGGAGGCAAAGGGAGATGGGGTATGCTCCCTTCGGCTTGACTAGACCCGCGTGGGGGTTGACTCCGTCTCACCGCGCATTTAAGCCTTTGGCCAGGCTGAGGAGGATGACGCCAGCTTGGCTTCAGAACGGCGACCTTCGCGTCCCATGTCGGCACCCCTTCGTGAGTAAACCCTGCTGCTGGGCTGTGTCAGCAAGTACACGACCAGTTCTCATGGTCACTGCATGATATCATTGTCCGGCTATGCCACGGTATAGGTCGCCGCTCCAGCCTACGCTCACCATCGCCATCAGGCATGTCTACAACCTCGGAGCGCGCTCGCCCAACCCGTCCACAAACAACGCAAGCCGCGATCTCGAGACCGCGGCCGCCCGTGTCACCCCGTAGTGGTACCATTAGACGCAACACGTAAGAATCGACTTGTCGAGCAAGTGCTGTGACCGGCGTGGTGGGTACCATGGCCAAAAGCCTTATCTTTTTCCCCCTCATCATTGATGTGATCCTTTCAATTAGGATTGTGGGACCGATTCCCGAAGATCGCGAGGGTTCATGGGAGACTGTTGAGTAAGTGGAGTGTTTGTGGAAAGGCATTGGTGCCTCGTCATGCTAACCATCCTGGTGACCACTTGCTCATCGTGCGATGAATTTTAGTTTAACGGCCTCACTGCACTCGCGGTTGTCTTCCCGCAAAAACTCTGCCTACTAAGCCTCGACGTTGTCGCGCTGCTTTTGTGGCAGAAGCCCATGCTTTCCATTTACTTGGTCTTGAGTTTGCCTGCCATACATATTGGATCTGATTAACAAAACATACGTGTCTGTCTGTGTCTGCCTCTGTCGGTGTGCCTGCCTCGCCGACTGGGTCTGCCTGTCTCTGCCTCTTCTTTTTGTCGCTACCATGACCTCTGTCTCCGCCTCTACACTATAAGAGCTTGCGTTGGAACTTCCAACCAATGCCACTCAACGATGAACATCCGAACGTACGTTTTTACAATTTGTTGACGAGAATTTTATCAAAATCTTCTAATGGGGGTGACTTTAGCAGCACTTTTGCGACAAGTATTACACTTTGACGGTTTTAACATACAAATTGAATCTCTCTCTCTCTCTCTCTCTCTCTCTCTCTCTCTCTCGCTCTTTTGTTTTGCACGTGTGGGCGGGGCGGCTGCGGGCGGCGGGCGGCAGACTGTAGCGCAGGCGGGAACGCCGCAAGGTGTTGGTGGTCACTCGATCAAGTGGTTCATGATGACGGCCTTTCACGGTCTCGAGCTCGTGGCGGGCTTATTGAGCGCCGTGGGGGCAGGAGCCGTAGTCTGGTGCTATTACCGCTTCGACCGTCAACATCCGGCACAAATCATCCTCACCGTGGCCGTGCTCGACTTTTTCTTGGCCCTCAAGTTTATGATCCGTGCCTGTGCCTTTCTCAGCGACTCCAATGAGACGAACAGCCATGCCGAGTAGGTGACCCTGCCTTGATAAAGAACTCTCATCGTTCTCTTTCTTCCTCGCGGGGTGATTGGGGGGTTGCTGCGAGGCTTTGAATGAGGAGCATTCAGACATTTGCTTTTGTCACTCAGCCGCTCTCTGAAAACGAGAGCGCGCGCATGGGTCTGACGTAGCGTGGATATCCCTCTCATGCTGCATCATCACCTCGTCAATTTGCTCACCGTCATGGCGCTAGATCGCTGCATATATTCCACGATGGCTGTGCCCTGTCCATTGCCTGGTCGGCCATCTGTGAGACGGCCACCATGGCCTGGAATGCCATCTGGTGCCTCAATCTCATGCTCCAGCTTGCCTCTCCAGCAGAGGATACCCGTCGTCTCATTCGATCTTATCACCTCTATGCCTGGAGTATGGTCGTATTGATGGTCAGTTCACTCATTATCTGCCTTCCCAACTCGTCAATGCCAATGTCTGCACATGTGCCATCGTAACCGATCTGACCTTTGATCCTGCCTGGCTTTGCAGCTGGGTTTGCAGTTGGGCGCGACCGATCGCACTGTAGAGAGGTCCGGGGACTATCACTACTGTACCATGACCCCTGGTGGTCTGAAGAACCACGTCCGCTTGATCGAGTACATCTTTGCCATGCTTCAGGTCGGTTGTGCCAGAAAAGGGCAGGCTTGCGCTCTTGTGCTTTGCACTAAGCCTTTGAGTGGCATGACGACGCGGCAACAGGGCCTCTTTGATATGCGGGACAGGCGCTCGGCCGTGCTTCGCCGCATGTTGGCAAAGAGACAGGCGACTGTCTCGAAGTTGTTGGTTGCTCACTTGACGGATTGGCTAGGTCATGATTGCCCTCGTTTCGGCGGGCTATGCGATCTGGCGCCTGCGCCAGGGCGGCGAGGAGAGCCATCGACTACTGTATCATCATGTGGCCTATGCCCTCGTCTTTGCCTTTTTGTGGGCCTTTGAGGTTGGTACTCTGGCTGCACCATGCTGCCGCCTGCCGAAGTAGCCTCTGGTTGCTTCTATTCCTATGGCCTCGTGTTCTCTTGCGCTGTGTTTGCTTGCTTTTACCCCTGTTCTTTATGCCCAATGTGCAGAAAAGCTTCATTGTCAACAATCGTCTCGGAAGCACCGGTCATCAGAGCATCGGTCTGCTCTGGCAAGCGCAGGGCTTCTTCGTGGCCCTCACACGGTAGGTCATGGCCAGGCCTGCATTCCTTTGCTCTTGAACGCAGCAGCTCAAGAATGTGGACCGATCCATGATGCTTGCTTTGGTCTTGTCTGTGCGTACATGCCGCTAGACTGTCTGAACTGCGGGTATTGAGCCGCCTCTTTAGCCGAAAGCAAAGCCAGTATGATTACATTGGTGCGTTGCGTTGCGATTTATGAAGTGTGTCATTTTGATCATTTGAAAGGCGAGGAGAAGACCTTGTGTCTGACCGGTGGTGGGCGATGGCACTGAAATGTAGATTACACGGAATCTTCAGTACAGGACTCACAAACAGGAAGCGGGAATGGTGGGCAGCAATGGGGCCCTTCTGCCACCGTGCGCTCCGGTATGTGGCTCTCGCCTGACTCTTACGCCAATCTTCCGGCAGCCAAGCATATCACGTCGGGCGGATCGTCTCAAGGCTCTACACTGACTTGTCTTCAATGCTTGCATTTCATCAGAGCTGCAAGTGGATGATGCCCTGGGTCTCCTGCCCAAGTCTCGGCATGACCACTACACCACATATCGGCCGCCGGCGTCCCCAGCTGCGATGCAATCGCCCGCCCGCGCCTTTGGGGATCTCTAAGCCTCAGCGCGTACCACCCGGGATCTGCGATTCTTATTTAGCCAGGCGCGCACCTACTAAAGTCACTCCATGTCTTTGTTTCTCGTGGCGCCACGAGTGGTGTCATTGCACTCTTGCGTCTTTTTTTGATTTTGCTCTTGTTTTATATTTTTTTTTCTTCTTTTATCGACTTGCCTATTTTTTTTTTTCTTTTTTCTTTTTCATTCCTTGTTGCACCGCACCATCGTACCGTCGTGTCTTGAGACAGGCAAGCCACCAAAAGCCCCGTGAATTATGGTGCCGAGGACAAGGCTCAATCAACTTTTTAATCTCACTCACTCAGAGGCGACGGACTTTTTGACTGGAACCTCCCACGAAAAGAAAAACAACAAGTTGTCTTTCACACATGGTAGCGCTTCTCCCTCTCTCTCTCTCTCTCTCTCTCTCTCTCTCTCTCAAACCAATTCATTCTCTCTCTCTCTCTCTCTCTCTCTCTCTTTCTCAAACCGACCAAACCAATTCATTCTCTCTCTCTCTCTCTCTCTCTCTCGCTCTCTCTCTCTCTCGCTCTCTCTCTCTCTCGCTCTCTCTCACTCTGCATTTGCAGAGGGACCGTCGAAAAGCTCGGATGGCGACGTTGGAGGCTCAGGGCCATTCCGGGACCCGTCGGTGTTCTTGATCCGTCAGCAGAGTGCAGAGAAATAGTTGATTGATACATGCCTGTTCTTTCGTACACATTGACGGTGAGGTGGGCGCACGCTTGATCCGTCGTCGCAAGCTGCCATTTTAATCACCTCAACGGCGACACCAGCGACATGGCCAAACCCAGCGACAGCGGCGGCAACGTATGTGTCTCGCTCTTGCGTGAAACGTGCAGCAACGTTGTTGTTTTTTCGCTCTTGCTGCTAGCGTGTGAGGTGATCTGACTTGTGTGCCCTGCTGCACCCCGCCACCTGCCACGCTTGCATGATCTTTTCTGGTCTGCGCTGATAGTCGGCTTCTGAAGAAGAGGGCGATTGGGTGACGCGCTGCATCTGCACGTTTACACACAACGACGACTTTATGGTCTGCTGTGATAAATGTGAATGCTGGCAACACATTGATTGTCTCGAATTCGACGCTGACCATGTGCCAGACAATTATCTCTGCGACCAATGTCGACCCCGGTACGCGTTGTACTTTCCATCCCGCCAACGCTCTTCATCCCACGCTTTGCCGCATGCCATCACGGTCAGATCTGTCCAGATACATATCATCTCATCTGCCCACCCCCGGCACCCCACCCCAATCTCGCTCTTTTTTTTTGTTTTCCTTGAATCTAGCCCGCTGGAAGTCTTCAAAGCCATATCGGCACAGGCAGACAAGAGCCGAGAACTGGCACGCGCAGAGCGTCGGTCGGGCCGTGGCAAAAAGTTTGTCTTTTGTGAAGCCGCCGTCTTAGGTGACTTGCAAGAAGCCGACCTCGAATACAAATCCGACAACCAGAGCCACTGCACGTGCGTTTATATCTTCAATGCGGATATCTTTTTTGCTTGCGCGAGGGTTTGGTTGGTGGTCGTGTGCCGTCTTATGATCTGTTGCGTTCGGTCCTCTGCATGGATAGGGATGAGGTCAAAGCGGTAATCGATGCGGCTGTGCCGCTGGAAAAACTACCAGACCTGCTCGCTTGGTGTCAAGATGCCTCACTGCACCCAGCCCTCACAAGTCTGGAGATTGCCAAGAATCGACCGGTGCGCGTACCGCCTGACCTTGCGTGCTGATCTTTGCCCCCATATGCCAAAATGCAGGATCTCATGATGCCTTGTCCTTTGCGGGATCGGCTAGGCCATCTTTGTAAACCAAGCGGTGGCCAAGGACATGCCCTTGCTCGAATTTTGTGGCAATGTCGTCACCACTGACAGCTTGGAACTTGAGGCACCCGTGACAGAGGCTCCACAGCCGTTCATCTGGTTTGCCAAATCCATGCCCGTATGCATCGATGCTCGAGTACTGGGCAATGAATCGCGTTTTTTGCGGCGCTCCTGTCACCCTTCGGCGGCTGTCAAGCTGTGTCGCTCTGGCTCGCGTCACTGCTTTGTTGTCACGGCCTTGCGTGCGCTTGGCAAGGTTTGTCACCAAAACGCGCGCTTATTTGCGCCCCGGCCCTGTGACTGGACCTCAACGTTGGCCGTGCTGTGATCTTTCTCACAACGACACCACGTTTGGGTGGGCTCCTAGGGTACTGAAATAACCATTGCCTTTGACGTCGACCCGGCCAAGTGCTCGTTTTTCCCGGTCTGTGCCTGTGGCCGCAGCGATTGTCAAGGTATGTGAAGCCCCCATGTCACCCTCCGTTGCTTTTGCTTCGACCCCGACGACTTGGGATATCGGTTTGTTTCGCTTGATTGCTGTCATTTTTCACTGTTATGATCTTGGTGTCTTTTTCACAGTCAATTTACGGTTGCGACAACACCAGCGACAGCGCTGGAAGGCAGAACGCAAGCAAAAGGAGAAGGAAAAGCAACAACACCAGTTACAGATTCAGCAAGTCGTTCAAAAAGCGCCTGGCGAAGCGACGGTGAGGCCTTGCTTCAAGTCAAAGTAAACGACGCACCTCCTTTGCTGATTTGCTCACAATCAGTCTTATGTTTGTGTTTTTTCGTCTTGATGCCTCAACTGGGCGCGGGATAGCCCGAAGCACGCAGGCCCTCCGGTTCATCGTCAGCCGCCAATTCTCCTTTGGTACAAAATCCAAGCTCAAACAGCAAAATGACCCGTGAAGAGCGCAAGATGGCAGCCATCATGGCCCGATTTGCACAAATGGAGCAAGAGCAGCTCGGCGAGCCCGGCAGTGTCGAACGTGCGTCTTTCATTGCCACCGTTTCAACTTTTTTTTTTTTTTTTCCTGTTTTTTCTGTCTGTTATCTCGTGCTGCTGAAATATGTCGCACTTACCGACGTATCTTCTTCTACCTGTTTCTCCTTCACCAGTCATGCGCTCGCCAGCACCGATGATGCCACTGACGCCCAATGCAACACAAAAGCGCCGCTCCTCAGCGGACAGCCCGTCGGGCTCGAAAAAGTCCAAGCAGCCACAGCAGCAACATGACTTGGCGGTCAGCGGGCAACACGCATCTCAACAGCAGTCACAGCATTCCAAGCGAACCCGAAACGCAGCCTCTCCCCGGCCCAGGTACGCGCTATCATGGGATGAATCGGGTCCCTGCTAGTGCAACGTGCGCCATCTTGTGTTTTGTATCATTTCTCAATTCTCGTTGCCAATGGCAGCTCCAACAAATTGCGTCCGTCTAGCATTGCAGACATCTTGCATGCGCCGCTGGATAGTAGCCCGCTTAACCCGTATAGCAGTTCCAATCGCCGGCGCAGCGGGAACATGACGGTACCACGCTACCGTCTTGGTCAAGCATCACAAGCACCCATCGCACAGCACAACCAGGCCGCTCAACTCGCCATTGATGAGGTAAGGCTACTGCTGGAGGCAGAGTAAGGAATGCATGAAGGGTGCATGCCTGCCTGGGATGTAGCTGGCTTGTGTCCTCGGATGTGTTGCTTGACACGGCGTGTGCTGTTACGGTGGTGTTATCGCGATACTCGCCCGTGTAGATGCTGTACTCTGGAATCAAGGGCGTGCTGAACAAGTGGCAACACCCATTACGCTACGTGGACCCCAATCGTGGCCAAGTGGTGGTGGCCAAGTTTCCCGAGGCAGAGCCAGCTGGTGCACCAGGCACAGAAGACGCAAAGCAGACATCAGCCAAGGGCACGGTGTCAGCCGCCTCTACCTCAAGCCCTCTACCCTGGCACAAGCAGCGGTTGCACGAGTGGTGCCAGAGCCAAGCCAAGCCGGCGACTGCCAAAGAGACGCCCGCGGACAGCAGCGCCGAGCAACCGACTCAACGTGATGAAGCGCCCCCAGAATCTAGCGGCGAAAGCGGAATGCAACCGACGAGCTCGGCTATAAGCACAGCCCCGAAAATCAACGACACGATCGCCAGAACGGCGGCTGAAGCAGCCACAGCAGAGGCAGGGGTTGAGGGCAATACAGCCGTGCTGCCCGGCACTGCGAGCCCCGCTGTGCCATCTTTGGCCACCTCTACGCCAACGGATTCAATGCCAGGTGTGGGCGAAAGTAGAGCGGTCAAAAATGAGCCTGTTGCAGGACCCTCTGCTGTTGCCGACGTGCCTTCCCAAGGACCAGCTCGCACAGACTCCACGGAACAGGACACTGCCAAGGGCTCGGAGGAAGAGTCCCTCGCTTCACCGTCTCCAGCCCCAAAGAAGAAGAAAATGTCTCTGGGCGAGTACCTCAAGCGGCGCCGAGAGAGTAGCGCTCCAAACAAGGATGGCTAGCCTCACTTGTATTTGCCCAAGTCTCTTGTGAGCAATCTCAGGATAGAGGGTATGCATCATTTACACAGATTATGTGGAGTGTGATGTTTTATTCCCGTCCCAAAAGAAAAATTGAAATGAGAAATTCTGCTTGTTCCGAATCCCCTATGTCTTTTTTCTTTGACTGGACGCGCCAGGCTAATGTCTGCGGGGCCGCAATGCGCGTGCCGTTCCACTTCACCGGGAAAACAAACAATCTGTGACTTGTGAATCCCCACTCCATAATGGGTTTCTCATTGGTTCCTTCCTGGTCCCACGATCTAGACAGGCTGTCGCACGCCACCGCTAAATGTAAGCTCGACCATTGTGTTCCCATTCCCTGGCGAAAATTGGAACCAAACGGAGCGCTGCACTGCTACAAGCAGCTTGAGTCTCGAGCCCTGCTCTGATACAAACGGCTTGAGTCTACAAAAAGAAAAGAGAAAACAAGAGTGAGTGTGGCACCATATGAACGAGATGTTTAAAAGAAAAAAGGGTAAAAAAAGTGAACCAGCAGAAATGCGACAAAAACAGGGCTGTCAAAAGGTCAGTCTTGTGATACAAGTCTCCTTCACGAAAAGTAGGTAGAACGAAAGTTATGATAAGAAAGTTAATCACTCCAAGACAGCTCAGAAGGTCGCACACTACCAGACACGTCCAGACAAGGAAAAATTGATACGCACCATGGCTGCAAAAGTGGGACGACCAGCTCCCACGAATAGGTCAGTCTGATGCTTCCTGATGTGTTGGCATCACGGGCAGTCTCATCGGAAAAGCAACTGGACCCCTCGAGGATAGCAGCACAAGCATCGGCAGGAGGACGCTTTACAAGGCGTCACACGGAATGAACCCGAACCAAACTCAAAGACTTTTTTTTGACTGCTGAGAAATGGGTCAAGGCGGCTCAATTTACACAGAGACTGATTTACAGGCCCTGAGTTTCACGGAGACGGCGGATGGTGCTGCGCGCAGTCGTGGCCGCAGCCGTGCTGTAGAATTGATAAATCCCAACAGGGCAAGAGAAAAGGGTGAGCCACAAGACATTCTTGAATGAAGTCAACCAGAGAACGCGGCCAAGCGAGATGCAGATGATGAATCATGATTGAGAGCTCAGAACGGTGTGGAGTGTAGCTGACCTGATGCTCCAAGCGCCACCGGCAACCGTCTTCTTGCAAGCCTTGCAGTTCCAGATGCCAACGGCGTTGCGCTTCATGGCAGTCTTACCGCAGAACATGCAAGTGTAGCGGGCGTGCTGGCTAATTTCGATCTTCTTGACCTGCTTCCTGAGGGAGGCACCGTAACGGGTACCGTACTTGCCGACAACGCCGACCTTCTTGGTGTGACGAGCCATCTGACGGTTTCGAGGCGCGCACCAACACGAGCAAACCAGAAATGAGCAAAATTAAGGCCTCGCGGTGAGCGTGGTGTGGTAGGCAGAGCCAGGCTAAACAACTCAAGGCTAAGGTGAAAGGGGTTTCATCAAAGGCCACCAAGAGTGTTTAACAGCAAAGAGTATGCACCACGGTTCCCGAGCGCCCCTTGCATGTCTTTCAAAAAGCACGCGCGAGGCATGTTCGCGAGCCAAGCAAGAGCGAAGCCTCGAGCTGGTCAAGCACCGGGTCACGTGGTGGCATCGCAGCAGCCCGAGGCCATGTCTGCCAAGGAACAAAGGTGGGCTCTCTTTCTTTCTTGTATCTGTTTGTCCTGATCGTGACGATACAGACTGTGCCCTTGTGGCGCTCTGGCTGCCGTTTGTGCGGGACGATGTGCGCCGCAGGCGAGACGAGACAGCAGGCAGCTCGAGTGAGGGCGCAAACCTTTAGGGTTGGAATCCCAATGAGAAAAGTGCTTGAAGGCAACTTTCCACGCTGGTAAGCAAGGTTTATTTGAAAGCCTGTTTTTCACCTGCAAACGATTCACAATTTCACAAAAGTGCACTCAAGTCTTGCCACAACTTTTTTCTCCCCCACCGCCGAGATATTTTCTGACAATTCCAGTTTTGTTGTGGCCGCCTCCTGCTACCAAGTGGCAATCGTCCGCCCCCTTGCCTGACAAACTAGAAGCAACTCTCTCTCTGTCTTTCCCTCTGTCTTTCTGTCTTTCTCTCTGTCTTTCTTCTCTGTCTTTCTTCTCTGACAATCTCTCCTCTCTCTCAAACTCTCTCTCTCTCTCTCTCTCTCTCTCTCTCTCTCTCTCAAACGCTCTCTCTCAAACTCTCTCTCTCTCTCTGTCAGTTGTCTCAAAGACAAAGACGGCAGTCACCTGGAGCAGCGACCTCTTCGGCGTCTCCTTGCTGCTGCTGCTGCTGCTGCTTGCTGTTGACCCGAGCTGAGCGCGTTCGACTGGATCACTGCGTGATAGCCCTGCTTTCCCTCGACGCTTCCGCGTGGGAGAGGTCCGTCCCACGCTCATCTTGTGACGTTTTTAAGGTTAGTCCGTGGAGTGACGTTGGCCGTGCTCTGCCCCGCCCACCACAAGAGGGTCAAGGCCTCGTTCCCTGTGTCTCGAGATCCTGCTGTTCTGGTGATGGACCACGCTTGACCTCCTAGCCTCGAGACCTCGAGACTTTGGGATTGCCATCCTCGCCCTGTTTCCACACACAGACACACAGACACACATACAATTCCCCCCCCCCTCCTGCGCGCCCCACCCACGGGCAACCCCACCCACCCTTCCAACATCGCTTCCATTGCTAGACCAGACCCGCTTCCATTAAAGTGCCGAAGCTGGCACTCCAAGCCCCGACTCACGCCCAAGCCATCATCCACCCGCCTCTGTGCTCGGGTTTCTGCTTCACCCCTTCACCGACTCTCATTTTATTTTCTTCCCATTGCTTGCCACCACCCCCACCACCACGACTCCACTTCAGACACTGATTGACGCCTCCATTCCTTCTTGACTTTTGTGTGTGTGCTCAGCGCACGTCTGCGCCTTTCTTTTTCTCTTTTTTTTTTTTTTTTTTTCCTGTTATTCTACGGGTGTTTCTGCTTGATTGCCGGCTGGCCCTTCCCGATCTCCCCCTTTCCCCCTCCTCCCCCCTCCTTCCTTCTTTCATATTTGGAACACGGACAATCTTTTTTCATCGACTTGGTGTCGCAAAGGTTCTCACTCATCTTGTCCCGTCGATCAACTTTGGATCACCCGGTCCACGCACAGACACACCATTCATCATGCGCGAGTACAAGATTGTCGTCTTGGGCAGCGGTGGTGTCGGCAAATCAGCCCTGGTGCGTAGCCCCAAACAACTGGCAGCATGCTTCTATGCGCCTTTGTCGCGCTGGCTCAGAAAAGGGGATCGGCTCCTTTTTCGTGCAACTTACAATGACCCTGCCTTACCTCGCCACCTATTCTACGAGCACACAGACCGTTCAGTTTGTGCAGGGCATCTTCGTTGAGAAGTATGATCCCACCATCGAAGACTCGTATCGCAATCAGGTTAGTCAACTTGCGCTCATGGGCTGAGATCTGCGTAAACCCCATCCACACATGCATTTTGATTCCCTTTTCTGTTTCCAATTTCCTTCGCCGCTGTATCGACCCGCTGCCTGCTCATTCATCCCCATGGGTCTGCGGCTGCTCAGGTCGAGGTCGATGGACAGCAATGTATGCTTGAAATCCTGGATACCGCTGGCACGGAACAGTTCACTGCCATGCGAGACCTGTACATGAAAAATGGCCAGGGCTTTGTTCTGGTCTACTCCATCACCGCTCAGAGTACCTTCAACGACCTTACAGACCTGCGGGAACAGATTCTTCGTGTCAAGGACACGGATGACGTATGTTTTTTAATTTTGACTCTTGATGGACACGGTCGATTTTTCCCACTCGGTGCTGCCCGCTACTTCCCTCGCGCGCAGACTCTGATCAATTGTTGGCTGTGGTCCGTCTTTCTTTCTCTCTCCCTTGCCTCAGGTGCCGCTTGTGCTCGTTGGCAACAAGTGCGATCTCGAAGATGAACGCGTTGTTGGTAAGGACAAGGGCCAGGGCTTAGCAAAGGTGTTCAACAACTGCACCTTCCTCGAGGCCTCGGCCAAGAACAAGATCAACGTCAAGGAGGTGAGTTTTCAAGTGGTTCATGTCTTGTTCGCCCTGGCAACCCCGTGCTCATAACCTGTGCGCTGACTCTTGCCTTTTTAGATCTTCTATGACCTGGTGCGACAGATTAACCGCAAGAATCCTGATGGCCCCAAGCGGACAAAATCCAAGTCGGGCTGTGTCCTTCTCTAGATTTGCTTTGTGATCAAGCACGAGCCTTCCCCCGGGGATATATCTCTTTGTCTCCAAAAGGCTCGGCCACCGCCTCAACTAATCGTGACTTTGTTGTTCTCAATTCTTTCCGCACCCCGTGCCTTCTCGTCTATAAGGGCTTCTTGATTTGTCGTTGTGGTTCTGATTGTCCCTCCTGTTGCCGTCCATCCTTTGGCCTCTCCTTCCATTTGCACTCAGCCCAGCCCACCGAAGCCCCGCTCAGACGGGATTCACGCTGGCTCTTTCTTATCTTGTGAAGCCTTCTCCGGAAGAATGCTAAATTGACCCACTTGCATGAACAAGGGACACCAGTTTTCATCATTCGCACATTTCTTGATGAGGGACGCAGACACACAGGGCAAGCTCACAAAAGGATCGCATATACCACACGCACATACACACACAAACAAGATGAAAAGTTGTACTAAACGCAATACATCATGCTGGCATCTGATGTCGACACACACGCATCGCATCGAGAGACCCGCCGCTACCACATCTCCCACACCTCCCCAAGCCTAAATCTTGGGCTAAGGCCTTAGCCCGCATAGGTAGGGTTGACCAATTCAACAGTACACGCAGCATTGGCCTTGCGCAGTCGCTTCAACTGCTTTTTGGCGTGCTGAGCTCGAATCTGGTTGTCATACAACCTAGTACAAAAGCAAAAGCAAACACCAGCCTCAGTGTGCCGCGGGCTTGCCCCATCCAAAGCAAAGACATCGACGACAAACTCACGCCAAGCCAGCCAGCGTCTTGTTGACGTGCAGGGCGTCCACGAAACGATCAAAGCCATCATCGCGGATCATGTTCTCGCGAAGGCTGCGCCGCGCAAGCAACACGGTGAATCGGGTCAGGTCTTACGGAGTCTGACCAGGCTCAACGGTCGTGCTGTGGTCAAGTACACGACGCACGGCGAAAACGCCATTGGCAAGCCAGCCAAACTCACCTCAGACCACGCAGGGTTCGGTTGGTACGCAAGCCTTCAGCCAACCAAGTTGCTCCTTCATTGCTAATGCGATTAGCACGCAAACTATTTGCCCCGTGTTGCACATACAAGTGAGCCAAGTCGGGAGGGGAGGGGCAAAACTGCGGCTGGGATACAATCAAATGAAAGGGCCTCCACATGAGAAGAGCAGACACGTACGAGAGCATTTGCAGCGTTTCGTTGCTCTGCAGCATGCGGGCCAGTCTGTCTGCCGCCTCGTTGTTTAGCTCGTTGTTGCGAATCCTAAACACACACACACACACACACCCCGAGACAATGAGCGAGGTGACACATGCCACCCAACCGATCGATGAGCCGTCTCTGAAACGCACTGAAGATGGGTTACGGAGCGGTTCTTCTTGAGCGCGTCCACGAGGCGAAGAACCTGGCTTGAAGCCAAATTGTTATCAAAGAGCCTACAACGTCCAAACGTCACAGTCTTGATTAACGGGGGCTCGTGGTGCAAGAGCGCAGGCTAGGCTCGGCTGGAATATTATATCTCGACACCGTGCCCAATGACCTGATGATGACACAAGAACCTACTTGAGCTGTTGAATGCGGCATGAACGAGACTCGAGGGCAAGGCATAGCTCGGTAAACTGGTGAGGGGAGAGGCGGCAATGGAAAAAGTTGACCTCGCGGTTGGACATGAGCAGATTCTGGAAGCTCGAAACGTCATCCGTGGCCGCATTACCTAGAACAATCATTCATCCGCGAGAGTTGAATACACCGGCACATGGGCACCTTCAACGTTCAGGCGGAACGAGGTCTGGAACGACTCACCGATTTTCACAGCAGGATCTTCCACAAAGGTGCCAGACGGGTCGGCCACGCTCCAAATACCTCGAATGTCTTGAGGGCGATCGGCCTGAGAAGAGATGTAGGCCGTGACATCGCGCGGACCAAACTGACGGGACACAACCCAGGCTTGCTTATCGGCCAGAAAGAAGAGGTACAGCTTGTTGACAATGGGCTTGGCATAGCCAGTTTGGGTGAATGTGTGCACGTAAACGGGCTTGTTATCAAAGAACTTGGTCATGTCCTCTTCGTAGCGGCCGTTGATAAAAGCAGCATGTCCTTGTCGCCCGTTGATGAAAACGACGTCTGAGTCGCGATCCGTGGAAGATTCGGCCGGCTGCCAAGACAAATTAGCGCTGGGGCGCTTAGCAGGACTGAGGGGCTCGATCACATCGACTTGAGTTTCCTGAATGACAGGCTGGGCCACCGGGGTAGGCTGCGGGGAGGGGGTGGGGCTGGCAGTGACGTCAGACACACTCGTGGGCGGTGTACGGGACTCCACAGATGCTGTCACCGCCACTGCGGTTGCCGCCGGCGTGGTCGTGGGTGTGGTGATGGGTACTTCATGAGTCTCGGGCGCAGGGGCCGCGGCGGGTGAGGCTGTCACCGCAGCGGGTTGCTCGACCACGACGGCCTGCGGGGCTGCAGCTGGAGCCGGGGCCTGCGAAGTGGTTTCGGAAGCAGGGTCTTTGGTGGTAGCAGCTTCGGCAGGAGCTGCGGCCACGACCTGTGGAGTCGTCACAGGAGCAGAATCGGCTTGGGTGGTCGACTCCACCACGGGCGTGACCGCTGGCTGCGAAGCAGCAGCCGAAGACTTTGGCGGCTCTGGCTCGGAGGCAGGTGCAGCCTTGTTTGTTGAGACGGCATGGGTTGCAGATGTTGCTGACGCGTTGGTGTCAGCTTGAGTCGCAGTCGGAGCAGCAGGTGAGGATGAACTGCTCTCTTGAGCAGGGGCAGCCGTTGACGTTGTTGATGTTGTTGTTGTTGCTGTTGGCGCCGGCTTGTTGTTTTCCAACTCAGACAAGATCCTTTGGGCATTGGCACGGCGGTTCTTGAGCGTTTGAAGTTGCGTGGTGGCTTGCTGCAACGCCTCATCCATGCCAGCCAGCGCCTCTCTTTGTGGATCGTTGACGGGCATGGTCAGCAGAACAGGCCAGCCCTGTACTGGCTGGTGAAATTGTGCAAAGAGCTGTCGAAATCATTGACCAAGGCAGTACATTTCCAGTCGGTTTGGGTAATTGCAACGGACGTCAGGTGCTCAATGAGCAAACGCGAATGAAGGAGGGCGAGAAGTTAGGCGCGACGGATGCGGAACAAACCTTGCCAACGTCGGTATGGTCACCGTACTTTTTTCCGTTGATCAGCCAGTGGCCACTGCCATCCTTTTCAAGTTTGTGATGGGTGGGACGTCCCTTGAAGACGATGCAAGCAATCAGGTCGTCGTAGCCCTCGCGGGTACGCACAAGGTAAGCACCGTCGACCTTGCCACGCATCATTTCCTCCACCTCTTCGCGGCTCATGGGCTTGATCCAAAGGAAAGGGGGTGCGTTGGGTGCAGCACCCTGAGCACGCAGCTCGCCTTCCATCTTGGCAACGTTCTGCTCATTCTGCTCAACTTGAGTGTTGAGGGTTTCGACGCGAGATTGCCACTTCTTGAGCTCCTCTGGATATTGCTCTGGCGTGATGTCCTTGATGTTAAAAGTGGCAGAACGGGTTGATCCGGAGCGCTGACGCATGGAGCCACTGCGGCCACGCACAGACGAGTTGCGACGAATGGAACCCTAGTGGCAAGCCGCGATCAGACAAAAAAAAAATGCCGCATTCTCCGTCGAGTCTCAAAAGACAGAGCACCAACCTTGCGAGCGGCAGGATGGCTCTCATCCTCGATGCCGTCGTGCAGCACAATGGGCCAGCCTTCAGCCGGCTCATGCAGGCGCTGAATGATCTGTGGATGAGCACGATTGATGAGTCATGGAGCAAAGAGGCACTCCTTTATGCATTTCGTGATCACGGCAAAAGCATCCTCGACATCACGGCTGTCATGGCCTTCACGACACACAACAATTTCACAGCTGAACAACAAGTCGGGATGGATGGTCTGCCTTGCCTTGAGGATGTTGGTATCGTTGACATATACACGCTTGTTGATCGTCCAGAGGCGATCTTCCGGACGCTGTTCGATGAGATGGTGTGTTGGCTTGCCTTTGTACATGACGGCCAGGACGTAGTCACGGCTACCCTCGGCTCGCTGCCGGATGAGAAACTGCCCATCGGTGGCATTATGTTTAGCCAAGAGAGCCTCGGCGTCCTGCCGGCTCATGGGGTTGTACACCCACTTTGGAGCCATGGTCTGAGTTGCGCTAGACCCACGCGGCAGTCCGAGTTTGAAGGCTCGCACGAAAAGAAACCCGGCGCACCACCTGCAGCCAAAGGCCACAAGCAAAATCGAGACACCATGAGCCCAGACGCAACACACAAAAACATACCGACCGACGCATTCTCCCCCTCCCTCTCGCCTTCTCCGCTACGAGACACGCGAGCTCTTGCTACCCCCATCATGACCATTGCAGCCGCCTGCCGTTCCACGAACCACCCGCCTCTCTCTCTCTTCTCTCTCTCTCTCTCTCTCTCTCTCTCTCTCTCTCTCTCTCGCTCTCCAACGCCCTCTTCCAACAACACGCCCACTTCTCTGTATCCTTACCGTCACTGCTTGGAAACTAGCAGCTCGACAAGGTACCTATGGCTTATGGCGTTCCCCTTTTGTTATCTTTCTCTCTGTTTGAAAACAATAGGTGCTACCACATGTTAGTGCAAGTGTGAAACGAAAACACCCTCCCAAAAGGCCCTCTCCTAGCAATTGGGGGTCTGCTCAAAGATGCAACCCGCAGAGAGGCCGCAGCGCAAATTTTAAGACATTGATGCGTTACAGCTGTTATGTTTGAAAATCACAGTGCACCGAATCCGATGACCATGTATCAGTCCCGTGGAAAATCGCATCGAACAAACTTTCGATACAACCACTCCTCTCACTCACAAATCCATGTCAACCACATGTCGACCACGGGCTGCTGGTGTGAAGGTCCGTGGTGGAGCGCGCGTCACAATGCATAAACAGATATGATTGAATGAGGGAGAAAAAGACTTTGCTCGTAAAATTGAAAAGGTCAATTTAAGCCTCAACCTTCTCAACCTTCTCGGCCTTCTTGGCCGCGGCCTTGCGCTGAGACACGATGACGCCAGCCATCTCGTCGCGTTTGCGGCGGGCACGGATGTGAGTGCCAAGCTAAACAGAACCCAGAGTAAAAACGATTGCACTGTAAGAACGACGATCTACATACAACAACACAGCACAGCACAGCACAGCACAGCACAGCACAGCACAGCATCCAACTTGGGGAGTGTGTGCGCGCGCTCTGATCAACCTGAGGCAATCCCCATCAGTCAACTTACGCGCTTCTTGCAGAACTTGAGGGCACGCTTATCGGCACCGATCCTCAGCAGTTCCATGCAGCGGCGCTCGTAGGGAGCGAAGCCAGCCACCTCCCGGACAACATCACGCACAAACTTGGTGCGCTTGCCGAGCTTCTGTTTCAAGGGGCACAAAAAGAAGCAGACATGAGTATAAAGCCACCCCACGAGTCATGAGGTAGCCAGGCCACCCTCGCCATCATGGATGTCGGAAAAACGTACGCCAATGCTCTTCTGGGGAGCCTGGCTCTTCTGGGTGTACTTGGTGACCTTGTGGCCCTTCTTGAGGCCGTAGGACAGGTTGCCCTTGGGCTCCTGGATGGGAAGATGACGGGTCATCTAGAAAGAGGACAACAAGAGCGCACCATATCGTTAATGAGTGAAATGATGCCAAGTTGTTTCATTGAATCTGTTGGCAAACAACAAAGCTCGAGAACACCACACAGCTCGGCACATGTGCACGGCGCGTCCAAGAGCGCACGCAAAACATGAAGGGCAGCGCGACAAGCATCCATTCATGGCTGTGCTGCTCTTGCTATGGAACGCTTGACTGCATGTATCATTGCTCAAGTCAACACACAAGCCCTTGACGCCGGATGGGACGCAAGCCATGCAGGCTCGGCAAAACATGACGAGCCAAAACTTGGACCAGCACCGTAGTCTCGGCGAGCCAAATGGCGCCGAGTGGCTTCCATTGGCAGCGCACTCCCAGCACAAACTCAACGCGCAACGTCGAACAACATGGAAAGCTGAACAGAACACGCTCACGCCCGCCAAAGCCTCGCGCTGCCCTCCACGTTGAGCCGACCGTCACGCCCGAAACACACACACAGCCTCCTCGATGAGCACGCAGCCTCACGACATACCTTCGCGTTCAAGAAGAGAGAGAAAAAAAGTGCTGGTTCACGGGCTCAAACCTGGATATCTGCCTGCTAAAAATAGATTCAAACATCTCCACATCCGCATCGGACAAGATAGATGTGGTGGTGTGGAGAAAAAAAAAGGCATCGCGAAATTGTCAGATGTCAGATAAAATCTTACTTTGCTCCAGCTTCTGAACGCTCGACTTGACGGCGGGAACGGATGGGGAAAGAGGTAGCCAAAGCTTCTCTTTTTTTTTTTTTTTTTGCCGTCTAGTGGTGTAGGTGGCGGTGCCAGTGTGCCAGTGTGCAAGTGTTATTTGCTGAACCAACGTATGCAGGGATGGAGTCCCTTGCCTATTTGATGAAGGTACCAAGACGACATGGTGCCAATAGCTTGAAATCGAATGACCGTCGCTTACACTCGCCATCTGGTGGTCAGGCACCCTCGCCTGAGTTTGTCGTGCAGTCGTTGCAGGCGGCCTACTCGTCGCGCTATGCTGCAGGTCAGCTGAGCCACGAGCTAGGCTTGCTATTTTACACACCAATGTCCGCCGCACTCAACACCAATGGGAATCCCGTTCTCCATCTTTAGATGACATGGCTGCGGTCACCGAACGTGCCGCCGAGGCACTGGAGATTACCCCCGATCAGGCCAAGCAGGTACACTCCTGTGCCTAGGTTGCATCCTTGACCCTTTGAGGGCCACCTGCGCACCCATTCACCTCTTCCCTTGGCCCTCGCCTCGCCCACTTTGTTTTTATGCTTCGATGCCAGCTATTTCGGAGCATGCGCGACTTGATCTCCACCGTCATCTACCGAAACTGTGCCGACGACGCTGCTGTGCGCAGCATCATGCCTGGTTCGAGCGCCAAGGCTCATATCTGCTGTTGCCACCATTGGCGCTTGGCTTAATTTGACTTTGTTTTTGTTTGTTTGTTTGTTTGTTTTTTGTACGCTTTTTGGGTTTGTTTTGAACCTCACTAGCTCATGGTTTCGATAGATACGGTGCCTGGCAAGCTCCAAGGTCTGCTGGCCAAGCTGATCCTACAGAATCTGTGCGTCTTGATCAGCACTCCCATGCACTCGGCCAATTGTTCAGTTTGCTCCTTATTTGCACCATCATGACGGCATGCCATGAGATCAAGCCTGTCGACGGGCCTTGTTGTTCGCTGACACGGCTCCTTCTCGTGTGCCTCTGCTCTAGGGGCCCCTGGCGCGAGCAGGCTGCTTTTCAGCAATGTATGTGCCGTCATCAACCGCTTCAAACTTCAATGCATGCAAGCCCACTCTCGTAGGCATCTGCACCGCGTCTCACTACACGCAATGCGCTGTCCTCTTTGACCATAGTATCTTTGCCGCGCCTGAAAGAATTCAATTGGGCGATCGACGTGAAAACCAGCTCAGACCAATTGGCGCGCATGGCGCTGCCCACTGCTGTGGTTCATCTCAAGGTAGGCAACCCTGCAAGATGTTTTGTGTGTCCTGCCCCGTGGTGTCTGCGCGCACATTCATGTGTTTGGCCAATAGGTGGAAGATTTGCCACAAACAACTAAGGAAATGCCTGCGCTGCGCGATGTGGCTTTTGAAATGAACAAGGTCGGTGGTACCCACTTGCTGCGGTGCATGGCAGTTGAAAAGACCTGAAAATCTGATTCGTCACACCCACGTGTTGTTTGCCTGGTGGGTGCAGGATACTCTGGAAACCATGCTTGATGGACTGGGCAAGATTCAAGAGCAGTTGGCCGCCATTGCCGGATCTAGCTCTTAAGTATGCGGCGGCCAGCGGTCCTCGAACCACCCAAATTCCATACCGCCCTCGCCATCCGGCCGACGTGTGCATGACGCTCATACCATCAGCGCGTTCTTACCCGTCCGCCAACTTGAATGTTTGGCAGCACGATTGCCACGTGCGCGAGACATTGCTTGCCCGCCAAGAGGAGGGAACTTGAATTCCTGGGGCGCAGTGCGCCCTGTTTTTGTACAGTGGTACCTTGAATTGATATTCAAATTTTATCTGAACTGACCATTGAGATCCATGTGAGCTACAGTTGGCACCACGCCAAGACGTGCAAGAAGACATAACCACCTCAAAAAAAAAAAAAAAAAAAACATGCAATTTGGGGTTCCAGCCCCGAGCTCGCAGTTCAAAATGCGTAGGCACCAAGAAAACCGATCCAGTTGGTTACTTGTCTCGGTCTTCGTCCATGGGTGTGCCTGCTTGTAGGGTCGCGAGCGCGTGTCTTGACCCAGCCGTGCCCTGAGCTCAGCTTAGGTCTGCTTTAGACATGATATACATGCCCCCGCCAACAAGTACCGTTGCAAATGACAAGGACGGCTAGCTGAGCCACTAGTTCTTGTCTCCTCCCGTCGCCTAGACAATGTGTCACATGAAAGTGAGTGCCACAGTGGCCCCTTCTTCTGTACCCCCCTTCTGTACCCCGCTTCCTGCATGACACCATCTTTGCAGACACGCACCTCCTTGCGAGTCGCGTCCTGCAGGAGCTGCTTATCGACATGCTCAGGGGGCAAGTGGATGTAGCGCACGACTGAACCACGGATAAAGCAATTTTTGACAGCCATCTAGTCGCGGGCGCCAAGACGGTCAGATAAAATCACGAATCATCGAATGGTTCGGGCCGTGTAGCATTCTTCAGTTCAGAGAGCCCGCACTTGTCAGCACCACGCCTGACCCATTCACTTGCACACAAGACTCAAAAGAGAGCAAAGAGCACTGCGCAAAGCGGCACGTACCATGTGTGGGTAGCGCTCAATGTCGGCGACCTGAATGCTGTCGAGTTTGATGTTGAGAAACTGATCCACCGACTTGAGGACGCCATTCAGCTGCAGGTCATTTTTCAGCTCGACCGTCACCTCCTTGCCGATGAGCGTTTTGAAGAAAGAGCTAAAAAGCATGGTACTGGTTGCGTCCCGTTTGGACCTTTGTTCCCCACCCCAAGCATCATCAACAACATCAGGAAGCAGCGAGCGAGCGCATCAAGCCGCATGAGGTTGAACAGTGTCTTGGACCAGCCCAGCTCGATCGATCCCAAATCAGTCAAACAGCATGTCAAGCAGCATCGCTCCGCAAAAGAGCATCCACGCAAACACATCCTATTCACTTTACCCAGCCTGCACCACCCCTTAAGCGCCTTTCACCCCTGTCCTGACTCGTCGCCCTCTGCCCCGCGCTGCCATCCACAACGTACCAGGGAGAAGCAAAAAGCAAGAGAAAAAATGACCTTGTTTCCAATTGTTGTTTTCAACAGCTTTTTTTTTTTTTCTTCTGTCTTCTGAATTGTCAAAATGGTGGTGGGCTGGTCACATAGGCAATAGATATCACACAGCAGTCCGTGGCAAGGTGGAGATGGATTGATAATGTCAAAAAGAAGACAGGGAGGCCAGGTAATGCGCGCGGGTGACGGGGTGACTCAAGCACCAGTGAGTGGACACGCTTGGAAAAAGCAACTTTCTATCAAACAAGAATGACCCGACATAAAGGACAAAGGCTACGAATCATCACAAACACGCGAATACACATCGAGGCACGCACGGACATGAACGACTAGGCTTTGGAAGGATGGCTGGGACCTCGACACACGACACATGATCTTCAAGACCTGTCAGCAACATCCTTTCTTCTCAGTGTTGTCAGACACTTGTGCTAGTTTGATGGCATCGGCTTGATCTGCTGCGGGGGTCAGGCCTGCGCCAAGGGCCAACAAGCAGGTGAGTTCATACCAGCTCAGAGTCGCCCAATTTCGCGAATATAGCAGGCATTTCTGCCACGCACGCTTGGAGGAGATGAGCTCGCGCACAACTGCCATAAATGCCTCGTTAATGCCTATTCAAGAGGGCGTAATGTTGTGAGGCTGATGCGCGATCATTTGATCCGGGGACAGTCGCATGTGCGGCCGAGCGCACTCAAGTCGGCATTTACAATCGCACCTGCACCCGTCTTGGCTGAGGTTTCAAAAAAGATGGCATTTGTCTGCTTGGCATATGAGCGCCCTTTCTGTACTCGCAAGCGACAACAAGATGGACGAGTGTGCAACGCAAAGTCGGCAATGAGAGACATCGACAAAAAAAAAGGGGGTGGGGGGGAGCCAACAGGTGCGCGAGGATGGCAAGGACGAGACGGGCCGGCACACACACACCTCAACAAGGTGAGCGTCGTCCTTGAGCAGATCCACTTTATTTGCACAAATGCACATGACTGCAGTTGAAAATTCATGAAGCCACGCTGTAAGTGAGCGACTTGGTCACCTCCCACTGGTCAGGTAGCATGCCAACACCGAAGCAAAAGCAGCCAAGACCAAACAGATGGCACAAGGCAGCTGCATACCCGTGCTTGTGTCCGTGTTGCGTTGCAGCTCAGCCATCCAGCCTATATTCCGAAAACATGTGTGACCGGAGATTCGAGTCGTGAGCAACGCACATGCAAGTATCTGGCTGACCCTTATGAGCGCCACAGCCAAGCCCATGAAGACCCCACGCGCCATGCTCGCTTTGGTAATTGGGAAGAGAGACCCACGAACCTTTGACCTCATCCAACGACTTTGGTGTTGTTACGTCATAAACAATCAATGCCGCGGAAGAACCGCGATAGTACTGCGATATGGTGAGCAAAATGGGAAAAGAGCCAAACGTTAAAAGCACAGAATCACTGGTACAAACCCTGATCGTGGCTGAGTCAGTTTTGAACCCCCCTTACCATGGGCGCCATGCTGCGGAAACGCTCCTGTAGCAGGTCAATCACACGGCAGGGCCAGATGGTGGGAGATATCGTGTGAGGGGAGCGAAAGAAGGGGAATTGGACACAGGCGAGCATGTCACACTAACCTGGCCTGCGGTATCCCAAAGCTGTAGCTTGACGCGGCAACCATCCACAGTCCTTGACACACAAAACAAGACCAGGTAGCACCAGACGTGCCAAGCATGAGCTCCTGTGCGCAAAGGGTGCCATGCCCGTACAATTGTGCGATGGTCTGTAGTCGGGCTGCCTCGGGACGCACAGTTTATGAGTGAAAAAAGAGGCACCAATGGTAGAGGAGACGGCATCCTCGAACGCATCGTCGACATAGCGCAGAACCAGCGAGGTTTTGCCGACGCCTACGCAAAAGTCGAAATGGGTTGATGAAAGGAGAGGAAGAAAGAAAAAAAGCAAAGATACGTCAAAGGACACCCGAGTGCGAGTGCACGAGTTCGTTTCGCTGCACAGCTACACTCTTGAGGGCAATCCGTACTTTGGGCGCCGAGCAACACAATTTTGGCCTCCATGACCGAGGATGCCAAGCGCTGGCTGGGCGAAAAACCGCGCGGGCGAAAGTTCACGACCCGCCAAAGGGGGCTGTGGTTCGGGTTTGGAAGCACCGACGGGCGCACCTACACAAAAGCCCAATACCCGAACCGTACACAAGGCGCACGAAAAAGTGCGGCTGCCTGATCTCCGGTAGCTGCGCCCTCTCCAGCTCGCCGCGCTGTCTTTCAGCCAACCAACTAGTCCAATGAAGCCAGTACAGTGCCTACGAACGAAGTCATCCACAAACATATCAGCACATGCCCAGACCCCAGACCTCAAGCGCCGTGACCCAGCCCATCATGCCACCACCACTACACGCCCCCGGCCCCTGCCCTCTTGCTGACCTCCCCCTCATCAACTTTTGCTTCCCGCGACGTCGTCGCGCTCTCTCTCTCTCTCTCTCTCT